GGGTGCGAAGATCCCTCCCAAGGTCTGCCAGGGCCCTCTCCGCCCCTCTTGTGCGCAGAGGAGCCAGGCGACACCCTGCCCCGGGCCCGGCGGCCACTGGGCGCCCACTGCCTTCACGCACCTGACGCCATGCGACCCTTTGCCGGGAGCTGGGACCTTCCCAGAGCGCGGCGCTCCGCCGGCCATCGCGCCCAGCTCATCCCGAAATAACCTGCTCAGGGCGCTGAGTTGCAGAGCTTCTAGTTTTGTTATGTCCAAAACTTAGGTCCCCTACGCTGTTCATTTCCTTCATAAAATGCATTTGAATGTATTTACACGTTTATTTTCTTCCCCTTTCCTCCGAGTAGACACGAGGACGGGAACTTTAGAAAACCGTAGTACGCGCAGAGCCCAGCAAAGCCATTCAAAGTGCGTCCATATTTGTTGGATTTGCTGAATGGATGAATGAATGATTTCCAGAGGAAGTAAGCTCACTTTCAGTTCGGTGTGGATTCCTTGGAAACCACAAGATCTGAAATGTTAGACAGAGATGGGACTACTTTTCAGAAAAGGTACTTGGGGGAACTCTTTTCTGTTACAGAACTTTCCAATTTTGTAAATAGTGTCAATGTCACGAAATCAACATAAGAAGGTTGTTTCTTGCCCTGGCTGGTTTGGCTCAGTGGATAGATTATGGGCCTGCGGACTGAAGGGTCCTGGATTGGATTCCTGGTTAGGGCACATGCTCAGGTTGCGGCTGGATCCGTGCAGAAGGCAGCCAATCACATGTGAAAATCAAGGCTCATATACATGTCCAAAACAACAAAACAAAGAGGTAACAGAACCAGGATTCAAACCACACTAATAACCACTCTAATGTAATGGGATTATCTAAATCTCAATGCCTAATGTAGTATTTTATTCTAATGTTTGTTAATAAACAATTATAGAATAACTATTCTTGTTTGAGAACCACCTAATAAGAGTATCCAGAATAAAACCTGCAAACCAAGAATGAAGAAAAGTAAACATTAAAACCGTAAACGTTATTTAACATTGTTGATTTTAAAAGCAAGGGCATTTAAGACATGTTGCCATTAATAACCATGTGCTCCAGGCTATTTCAAACTGAAAGATAAACAATTATTTCCTGCCCAGCGAGCTTACAAATTACAAAGGCAAACAAGAAACAAATATAGAGTGAAAATAGAAAATATATGGGTTTAATATGAGAAGAAAGGTCAGTGTTCCCAAAAACCAACATTGAATCTATTTCCTGTTTTCTTTGGGTAGTAACAAAAACCTGAAAGAAATTATATTTAAAGAAGTGTGAGAAATATGAATTCCACCCTGCTGCACTGCACATAATCAGTCTTTCAAAATGATCTTGAGTCGAAGTAATCTGTTTTTGAGCACCTAAAAGACAGCAAGGAGCCTCAATATTAAAGATTTACAAAAATGGAAACAAATTTTTAAATCATCTGGAAAGAAAGGAGAGTATAAAACCAGTGTTATAATTTAAGAAAAATCACTGGAGCAAAAGGAAAATGATCAAAGATTTTTAATACAATAAAATCCAGAAAGTAAAAAATGGTGATATTTAGAAAGTTAATTGTAACAGGAAGTCACAGAAGGAGAGTAACTAATGGTATCAAAGTACATGGATTTTTTAAAATTAATTACTTTGACCAAAATTATAGTTGTTTTGTAAAGAGAAGAAAATTACAAAGCAAACAGAAAATGTACTTAATGCCTTTGAAGATGCCTGGTTAGAAACAGGTAAATGAAAGGGAGAGAAAAGAATAGCCAGAAAAAAGATACCACTGTTATAGTGCATGTATGATGATTTGAAAAGACCTGGTCAACGAGGTTATTGGGGTACAGTTAGGTGTGTTTAGGAGAGTAGAAACACAGAGGAACTGATGAGGGGGGAAAGCAAATTCTCATTTTCAGAAAGGATGCAGGACTAGAGGAGAGAAAACACTTTTAGTCCCTGTAGGTATTATAAGTATCCATTTGTGGCAGATTTGTGTTTCACAATAGGAATCTGATTGTTTCTTTATATTTCCCTCCCCTATTTCTATCTTACTAGTAAACCCAGGGCCTCTCTCCCGCTCCAGCCCTCACCAGAACAGATACAAAGATCCGGGGTCACTGCTGACCCATGGGCTAAGCCCAGATCCGCCTGTGCGTGCTTGAAGAACTGGTTATTCTCTAAGGTGGATAAGAGTGTGCCTAGAGAGAGATCAGAGAAAAGGGAGAATCCTATATAATAAAAGGGTAATATGCAAATCAACCAAACAGCAGAACAACCGATTGCTATGGTGCACACTGACCACCAGGGGGCAGACTCTCAATGCAGAAGCTGCCCCCTGGTGGTCAGTGTGCTCCCACAGGGGGAGCACCGCTCAGCCAGAAGCCGAGCTCACGGCTGGCGAGCACAGCGACGGTGGCAGGAGCCTCTCCCACCTCCGCGGCAGTGCTAAGGATGTCCAACTGCCAGCTTAGGGTCGGCATCCTCCGAGGGCTCCCGGACTGCGAAAGGGCACAGGCTGGGCTGAGGCACCCCCTCCCCCCAGTGCATGAATGTTGTGCACTGAACCAAGAGCCCTCAATGTGGCCAGGAGAAAGAGGATTTGTCATTAGAAAGTTCTTGGAAAGATTTCAAGAAGATGAGCCATCCGCAAGTGTGGATCACTCACCCTTTAAAAAAAAATTAAAACCTATGACCCATTTGTCATTTAACATTCCTGGATACACGTAGGCCTGGTAAGAGAGGAAGGGGAGCTTGAACATTCTGGAGGGAACAGGAGAATTCTGAAGAACCTCATTCCCTAAACCACGTGGAACTAGGCAGAAACAACTGGGAATGTTTCCTGAATGAAGTGGTGGTGGACCACATGCCACTGTTAGATATTCTGTTAACATGCCTATGGGATGTTAGCAATTTGGAAATCTGGAGGAAAATGAATAGATGGTCACATGGCAGAATTGTCAATGAAAATTCATGCTTTACAGATATGCATATGATCTTGAGTAAACGTGTGGGATTCCCATCATTCTACTAGTAAAATAAGTCCTCTTTCAAATGAAGGTTCAACAATTACTCTAACTTCCTATTCATTAATTCATTCAATGGTTCATTTATTCATCCATGTATTCTTTCAGTATTAGCATACACAACTCTATATGTACCCTTTTTAATAGCCATGCAGAGGCAGAAAAATATGAGTAAGAAATGATCACTACCTTCCATGACATTACATATATTCAAGGAGATAAAATATTTAGAGGAGGAAAAAGTAGAGTGATCAGGGAAATCTTCTTGGAGTTAGTGGCATTTGAACTGAGCTTTGAAAGTCGGGAAAATTCCGAAAAATGCCAGGGAAAAATTCTGGATCGAGGAAATCTCACAAAAGCACTCACAGAGTGATCAAGACACTGTCAAGTATGGATTATGGAGAAATCTGAAAAATTAATGTTCTATCTCGGGTAATGGTCTCTGTAAATCTCTCACTTGCCTGAAGGTGGCAAGCTGGGTTTGTTTGAGAAACTTCAGCACCAACATTATCTGAAAGAAAAATGAAACTACTGCTTCTTTGGGGAAAAAAACACACACACAAACTTTCATTGACATTTATCTCATAAAACCAAAAAGTGGAGAAGATTAGAAATTACTATCACAATTACTTAAATAATGTATATATTTAGTATTATTTTAAGGCACATAGATTTTATATTACAAATATTTTTCAATTTAATAGTTATTTTATTGTTCTTATTGATTTCTCAGTTATGATAAATGTTTTCCTTATAGAAAAAGGAGCTTATACTTTTAAGTTATTATTAAAATCTGTGATAAGCATTGTTTATAAGTCTATTGGGAGGTGGTTAAGTTTATTGAGGAGTAATTTCCAATAGTAATTTCAGTAGCTAGTTGTGAGTTTTATGAATTGTGACAAGTGCATATGTTTTGTAATCACCACTATTATAAAGATCTAAAACAGTTTATCATTCTATCAAATTCCCTTATGCTGCCTTGTGGGCAAGCCCTTCCTTCACCGCTAGACCCTGACAACCACTGAGTTGTTTTCTGCCTGTGTAGTTTGACCTCTTCCAAAATGTCATATGAGTGGAATCATGTAATACGTACTCTTTTTTGGTCTGGTTTCCTTCATTCAGCATAGTTACTTTGAGATTCACCTATATTTGAATATAGTTGTAGTATCAATTATTTAACCCTTTTTATTACTGAATAATATTCCATTATATAAATGTACCACAATTTATCAATTCCTTAGCTGAAGGACATTTATATTATTTCGAGTTTTTGGTGATTATGCATAAAGTCACTATAAATATTCAGACACAGGGTTTTAGGTGATCATACATTTTCATTTCTCTAGGAGGGGAATTGCTGGTTTGAGTGATAAGTGTATACTTATTTATAAGAAACTGCCAAACTGTTTTTCCAAAGAGACCGGACCATTTTGCACTTCCACCAGCCATGTATGAGAATTCCAATGGCTCCACATCCTTGCTAAGGCTTGGTGTTGTCAGTTTGTTTGTTTGTCTAACCCTGTTTATTAGGTAGTGGTGGTATGTCAGTATGATTTTAATTTGCATATACCTATGACACTGACGTTAAACATCCTTTTAGGTATTTATTTGAAGTGCATATATCTTTAGTGAAGTATCCTTTCAAATCTTTTGACAACTTGTATGTGGGAGAGAAGGGTTGTTTATTTTCTTATTGAATTTTGAGAGTTCCTTATACATTCTGGATTAAAGTCCTTTATCAGATACATGCTTACTAATATTTTGGCCTAGTCTATAGCTTGTCTTTTAACTTTCTTAATTGTGTCTTTCAAAGAGAAGAAATCCTTAATTTTGACAAAGTCCAAATTATCAG